ATTTTTCATTCAAACGCTGTTGAATCTTTTAAGAAAAGTGATGAATTTTTCTTATTAGATTTTTTGATATTTATGAATGTACGAATTCATCAGATCGTATTTTATTGGTTCGAAATAAAGATACAATAAGTATTCAACCTGGAAATGAATGTATTATTACCTGATCATATACTATAGAAGATAACAGACAAATAAAACGTGTTAAATTGATATATTTGTTATCGGTTCCGTTTTTCTTCTTCTTTCAGTTTTGTTTTTATTAATTCATTTCCGTACCTAATGTTTTGATGTGTCGATATTAATATGATCTCCTGCTAATCATTGTTTCCTCTTTCCTGCTTATTTATTGTTTAATCTTCGTTCTGTTAATGATCTCTTTCTTTCACATACACATGCGCATGCTATATATAGAGATACTTGATGAACATATATTAAGAACGATGATGTAGTTATTCTTCTAGTTTGCAATTACAATTGTGAGAAGTAGTAGATTCTGCCGATGGATACATAGAATGGTTGAATAAATTAATGGCCTTTCTCAGAGATATCTGAAATATTTCTGATCTCTTTTTTATTTTCTATGCATGTCCCTTCTTCATAAATTCTAAGAAATAAATTATCTTATATTTATTTTTCTATTTTAGATATATTTCAATAATAATCGACAATTACTATCTTTTAAAAAATATACAACATGAATAAAAAAATTACTATTTTCGAAGCATACAGTAGCACTTTTAAGAAATTTGACCCAGAAGCACCCAAAAAAATTTATTTTATAAATGTTTTGACAAAAGACAACACAATGAATGAACTAATCAACCTCGTATCAAAAAAAAATTATTTCCTTATTGAAACAAAATATGACAGAATATACGACCTACCAGCAGTAATACAAATATCTTTTTCACACGGATTCAAATTGCATGTCATCTTAATCGAAACAGGGTATTTACCAAAGTCAGATTCATCTTTATATAAACAGATAACATATTTATTTTCTATCATCTTCTCACTATTTAATCATATTCAATCATGGAATCACATTAAAGAACAACTTCAACCTTTCTTACGTTTTAATTTATTTAAATCAAGTCAAATAGAAAAGATTAATGCAACTAATGTGCAACATAAGTTTCAAGAATGGTTTGAAGAAAATTTTGCAAACATTCAATTTAGCTATCTTCCATCAAACAAATGGTCATTGACAATGACTGTTGCCTTTTTATTTCAAGAATTCCTGGATACAAGTGTTTTGTGCAGTCATAACTGGGATATTGGACTGTTTGCTCATTTTGATACAGACTGTGATGAAAAAGCATTCAAAAATAATAAATCTGCGCAAGATTTATTAGCAGATAATAGATGCCGATCAATACTCCTTAAATATGCGGTTAACGAATGCTTAGCCATTAATAAGATAGCTGCCATTTTACAAAATGACTGGACGCGCAAACATGGAGTGAATCATGTGAAAAAACTCTATACAAATGCTTAAGTAAATATTAATCTTCTGTTTAAACTATATTCTAAAAAAATAGGTATTTTATTGAATCTATGCTCACCTAAATAATCTTTTCATTTTGTTGAATGATGATCAGCTGGATCAAAATATATTAATGTTTTGACACATTTCGCTTTATGTGATAGCATAATTAATACTCTAAATTAGGAAAAAACCATTCTACACCGTGTTTGAAAAGTAACTCCATAATTTAGATTATTTATTACTCTCACGCAACAAAACATATCGTTCTGATATTTTCACCGTTTTGAAGCGTGGACTATGCCATTTTGTTCTATATGAAACAACTCAATTGATCATTTGCGACTGTCTAGGATAAGTCCCCAGGTCGAAAAGTACGGGCCGGTTCCGGCAGGAAAACACCGGAAGTCGCCGGAACTGGGTGGCAGTATTGCGGCAGGAAGTGTTGGGTTTTTTTTAGCAGGCGT